ATAATTATGAAATGTCATATCCTTGTAGTAATGTATACCATAAACTAAATCTGCCATAGTTTATATGTTTAGTAGTGAATATCTCTGCATTCGTAAAAGCTATGTATTGAAAACCCCAAACTATACCTATTATAGCTTGTATGTATAGTGTAATTGATGTGAATATTGAATCCGAAAAACTATGCAATTTTGGTTGTAAGTTGAAAACGTCCCTTATGCTCAATATAGTACAAAAGGGATAAAATATCTAAATATTTTATACAAATATGAAAATCGTTTGTCTGTATCAATTCCATAAGTTTTATACTTGTTAAAAGTCCTTTTGTATTAGTTCACAAAAGCATTTGAGTTTGGTTTGTATTCCCCCCTGAAAACGTTTAAAAGTCGTAAAAGCGTAGGGGTATGAACTCACCTTGAGTGAGTGGTTTGTACGAAAGATCGATATGGGATGCTGAGTGTCAAGTGAAGCCTCGAACACAATTGGATCCTATTTATCATGAATAACACATATAGGAACCAAATTAGGGTATTTCACTACTAGACATGATAAGAAACCACTCTAGGGACTTGGAAACACTTGAACTAAGTGTTAAAACCATATGGGATTGAGTAAAGGAGGTGTACGACCACCTTAAGGGTGTGTACGGCGATGGGTGTGCGGCCCATGAGTGTACGGGCGTACACTCATGAAGAAGTGTGTATGTTGAGGTGTTTCAAGGCCCTAAGAAGCATCAAGGAAGAGTTCTAGGTCCCATGCCTAGTGGTAATGCAAGTTTGAGGCCTAAAATGTTCATCAAAGTGGGTTTACGGCCCTAAGGTGTGTGTGCGGCCGTACAAAGGGGTGTGCGGCCATACAACCTTCATGTTCATGCCCAAAATGTCGACTTTAAGGTGAAACAAGGCTAGGGTCATGTCCAACTAGAAGATAGGGGTCAAACTCTCATTTTGGAGGGCCTTTAAGGAGTGTACGACCAACCTCATGAAGGTGTGCGGCCGTACTCCTTCAAAGGGTGAAGAACATGATGAAACTTGATGAACCAAGGCTTAAATCAAGAGGTCTTTCAAGTATAACAAGCTAGAGAATGGAATACTCATGTTTTTGAAGCCTTGGGGGGGTCACGGTTGAGTAAGATTGAGAGAAAGGGAGTAGTGTGCAGCCAAGAGAAGAAAGGAATGAAGGAATGGAGGTCTACTCATATATATAGGGGTGGGCGACTCACCACCTAGAGTGTGCGGCCATGAGGGGGTGTACGGCCGCACACCCATGTGTACGGCCGTACACTCCTCTTAAGAGAGTGTATGGCCCGATTTTGCTACTTTACGACTTGATAACTCATCCCTAATCTCAACCTTGGTTGTACTTAATCTTAGAACACTTAAATGAACCCTTAAACAGTGCTAAAAGACAACAGAAACGAATCTAACATTGATTGAATTGAATAGTTGTACAAGATAGAAGTTCTGGGTTGTCACATCATCCCCCCGTTAGAGAGAATTTTGTCCCGAAATTCAAGAATAGAATACAAATCATGAACTTGGAAAGAGATGAGGGTACTTCTGTTTCATAGAATCCTCGCGCTCCCAAGTGAATTCAGGTCCCCGCTTGGCATTCCAGAGAACCTTCACTATCGGGATGCGACTTTGTTTCGTTCGTTTGACTTCTCGGTCCATGATTTCAACTGGTTCCTCTACGAAGTGTAGACTCTCGTCTAGTTTGATATCATCGAGGGGAATCACAAGTGTCTCATCGGACAGACACTTCTTTAGGTTCGACAAGTGTCCCACGACGTGCCGAAATCGATGACGCAAGCTCTCAACATATCTTCCAATGTCTGAATTGTTCTCTCACTCTGTCCATCTGTCTGTAGATGATAAGCCGTGCTCATATCCAGCTTAGTTCCAAGAGCCTTCTGTAGCGATTGCCAGAACCTCGAGGTAAACCTGCTATCTCGATCGGAGATAATGGATACAGGTACCCCATGAAGGCAAACTATTTCTTGAATGTAGATTCGTGTGAGTCTCTCTATTTTGAAGTTTTCTTTGATTGGCAGGAAGTGGGCGGATTTAGTCAGCCGATCGACAATTACCCAGATGGCGTCGTGCCCACTCGGAGATCTGGGTAGCTTAGTAATAAAATCCATTGTAATCATTTCCCACTTCCACTCAGGTATTTCTGCCTGCTGAAGTAAACCTGAGGGCTTTTGATATTCTACTTTCACCTTGGCGCAAGTCAAGCACTTGCCCACGAAGGTAGCAATTTTTGCTTTCATGTTCGGCCACCAATAGAGTTGCTTGAGGTCCAGATACATCTTATCTGAACCTGGGTGAACGGAGTATCTAGTCTTGTGAGCCTCATTCATGACAACCTCCTTGTACCCACTGTACTTTGGGGTCCAGATCCGGTTCATGAAATAGTAAACTCTGTCTCCCTTGGCCTCTAAGTTCTTTTCCATTCCCCGCAACGCTTCATCCGTCATGTTATCTGGTTTTAAGGCTTCCAGCTGAGCCTCTCTGATTTGTGTGGATAATTGGGAATGGATTGTCATTGTCAACGCCTTCACTCTACGACCTGAATACTCCTTTTGGCTGAGGGCATCCGCTACCACATTGGCCTTGCCGGGATGATAGCGTATTTCGCACTCGTAGTCACTGAATAGCTCTACCCATCGCCGCCGCCTCATGTTTAACTCTTTCTGATGAAAGATATGCTGTAGGCTTTTATGGTCGGTGTATAATGTGCACTTGGTTCCGTAGAGATAATGTCTCCAGATCTTTAACGCGAAGACCACTGCTCCCAACTCTAGATCGTGAGTTGTGTAATTGACTTCGTGTGTTTTCAGCTGCCTCGAGGCATAGGCAATAACCTTTCCTCGCTGCATGAGCACACAGCCTAGGCCCTGATTGGATGCATCACAGTAGACTCCTCTTAAGAGAGTGTATGACCCGATTTTGCTACTTTACGACTTGATAACTCATCCCTAATCTCAACCTTGGTTGTACTTAAGCTTAGAACACTTTAATGAACCCTTAAACAGTGCTAAAAGACAACAGAAACGAATCTAACATTTATTGAATTGAATAGTTGTACAAGATAGAAGTTTCGGGTTGTCACATGCCAATCATAGATTGTCAGAAGATGCGAAGATGGAAGGGGACCAAAAACATGACCGTTTTGGATGCGCGTTAGAGCTATGTTCCACAAAGGAATGAACCAACCACCATACCGTTCTAAACATCAAGTCTACCCGAAATGGGTAAAAATGAACATATAAATCATGTTGTTTAACGATTTGTATAACAACATGAAACGGCAATGGAAAAGCGGCGAAAGTGACGATGTGATTTTGGAGTAAGCTTTTAACATTTACGAAAAAGTGAAAAAGAAGACTTTCAAGTTTTATGAAGTTTGGAATCTGGTCAAAGGCAACAAAAAATGGCAAAATCGAAAAACAATGACGACATCGATAGTGGCTCAAAACGGTCACGAACTTCCGAATCCGATCACATTACATCGGATGCTCGTGTTGGTTTCGACCTCAACGGTGATGATCGCATTCAAGTGTCACCACCCCCCGACCGATAGGAAGGGACAAAACAAAAAGCAAAGGCAAGGGCAAAGCCTCGTAGTCGGATGAATTGAAAAAATGTGCGCAAATGTGCAAGACATAAAAGATAAAATGGATAAAATTTTGCAACTTGCTTCGGATAGAGAGGCTCGGAAACAAAGGGACAACGACATGAGAGTGCTAGCGATGGACACGTCGAATATGACCGGAGATAAGCTTCAAGTTATTTTGGCCATGAAGGAGGACGTCAAAAAACATTACACTAATCCTTTTTAATTTCTTGTTTTTTTCCAAGTTTTTAATCGTTTAACACATATGTTTTTTTAAGTTGTAGGTTTAATATTTCTAGGTTGCTTTTCTCTAAATTTTTAGATTTTTTTTAAGTTATGCAATGTAATGGTACTTTTATTTTTAATTAAGAAAAAACATCATAAACGGTCCCTGTAGTTTCCCCAAATCTGAAGTTCAATCCTCATGGTTTAAAAACGTCATAGATGGTCCCTGTGCTTTCAAACTTTTGATGTTTGATCCTTTTTTGCTAACTCCGTTAACTTTCCACCATTAAATGAAGGGTATTTTTTTCATTTAACTATCCAGGGACCTTTTATGAGGTTTTCTTTTCTTTTATTTTTTTAAAATTAAATTTAATATCCAAGGTGTCTCTCTCTCTCTCTCTCAACCCCTCTCTTCCTCTCGTTCTGATATCACCAGCCACCACCACCATGTTTCTTACTCTTTGCTGTTGATCGGAGCTAGCCAAACACCTCACATAATAACAAAAAAAGGATTTAAGGCAAATATGGATCGTAACAACTAAAAACTCTCCTTGGCATTTTAACAAACACTTTGTGTGCATATTTCAGTGAACTAAAAATTGATAATCATAATAACTTTTGCAGTATATGAAGAACAAGAGAGAAAGAGAGATGCCTCTGTCATATTTAAACTCGTGTGAATCGAGCAGCAGGTACACCTCAAGAAAACTAGACCCACCCTTAACCTTTGAAGATCAAGACTGAGATGCCCTTTTTTCCTGTGCGCCTTTCTTCTCATTTGTACAGATTCAAATCACATCCCCTTCTTCCTTATGTTCTCAAATTGCATATTGAAAAGGATTATGGTGGTGTTCTGATGATCGACAATGAAACGGTGTAGGAGAAGAGAGAATGATTTCAATAGAGATGGTGGTCTTAATTCTTCACAGAGAAAAGATGCATGCCCTGGTTCTTGATTTAAAAACTTTTGTGAGATAGATACAACCATACAGGCGGTGGTCAAATTAGGAGGTGGGAGAGAATATAGATTATTGGGTCTATTAGTTTCGGTGAATCGGAGTCCTCATTGTGGCAGTGGGTGGTGGCGGCGTGCAATTGTAGTTCCACTGCCTTGCTCGTTTGTTTTATGCCAACGTGAACTCAAAGGGAGGGGCGGTGAATGGTGACGGGTGGTCGGAGGGAGCTGGTCGGATGGAGCCACGCAAGCAGTAACAGCAGCACATGGTGTTTGGCTATCTCCGATCAGCAGCAAAGAGTGAGAAACACGGCGATGGTGGCTGGTGATATAAGAATGAGAGGAAGAGAGGGGTTGAGAGAGAGAGAGAGAGAGAGAGAGAGAGAGAGAAAGAGAGAGAGAGGGTGGACCCTATTTGCATATTATTTTATTTTATTTTTATTTTTTTAAAAATAAGTGAAAAGATCATAAATGGTCATTGTAGCAGTGAAATGACGAAAATGCCCTTCAATTAATGGACAAAAGTTAACGGAGTTAGCAAAAAGGACCAAACATCAAAAGTTTTGAAAGCACAGGGACCATCTATGATGTTTTTAAACCACGAGGATTAAACTTCAGATTTTGGGAAACCACAGAGACCATTTATGATGTTTTTTCTTTAATTAATGAAATATTGTCTTTTTTTTAAATAAAGTTTTTATTTATTAAAAACAACTCAAGTGTGACACCACCCTTTGGGTGTGGCAACAAACCACATTTTTGTGGTAAAAACACATGTAGCGTCTACGTGACAATGTGGTTTCATGAGGAGTTCGGCCTAAGGTGAAAATCATAGGGTTACACTCCAATCATATCATACTATCATACTATACTTATAAATGATGCATTTTTCCTATCACCTCATGCATTTGAACCCCCCCCCCCCCCCCACAAATTTTCAAGCACCTCATGCATTTGAAACTCCCACACTTTTTCACCTTCAAAGTAATTAATCACACATCATAAAAGGTTTTATAACTTATATAATATGTTTAATAAGCAATTAATGGATAGTCTACTATAAAAATGTCATTCTATTTAAATAGACACACAAATACAAATCACATACAAAATTCATAAAGAAAACAAGTTTAAAGGTTTTGTGTTGGTTTGAGGGCTTTGGACCATTTTTCGAGCCATGTTATTATATTAAAGTTTTTAATTTGTAAGTTTGTTATATACTAATTCTTTTTTTATATTTTTATTGGTTTAAGTATTCTTTTAAGACAATCATTGTATGTTGTGGTTGAAACTTTAATGTAAATTAGATTAGATTCATGTTATCGATCATATGTTATGGAAAGCGATATAGATAATATTTAATTAAATATTGTATATATGTTTGTATGTTTGTGTTGCTTCAAAGTAATACTTAAAAAAAATCATGGATATGCAATATTATCCATGGTATCCATGTAAGTCTCTTTAAAATGCAAATTGTCTATCTTATCATTTTATATTTTAGTATATGTTTAACATTTTAATTATAATAATAAGTGTCTTTTAAAAGTTTTCTTCGTTTATTAATAATAATAAGTGGTTTTAAAACTACTGAACCATAATTATAAATAATAAAATCAAATTATAAAAATCATGGATATATCCTATTATCCATGCAAGTGTCTTTTGAAATGAAAATTGTCTATCTTATCGGTTTATTATTTAGTGTATGTTTCACATTTTAATTATAATATTAAGTATGTCTTAAAAGTATTCCTTAAATTATTAATAATAATAATTGCTTTAAAACTAAAGAACAATAATTTTAAATGATAATAACATCAGTTTATAAATTACATAACGTTAACAAAAAATAAATTGTATTTTAAATGAACATCATTATTGAAATTAGAAAATAACCGCATAAGTAAAAATTGAAATTAATCAATCATAACAATTGTTAAAAATAATATTAAATATATAATTATATTTAATTTTATTAATGAGGAATGTGGGTTGATGTAAATGAATAATATTGTTCAAAATATTATGTCAAAGTTAATGTCAATAACATAACCATTTTAAACATATATTTTTCAACATTTTAACAATATATTTTTAACCTACATTGCGCAACGCGTAAAAATTCGTCTAGTTTATAATCCATAATTATTACTTATCGACAGTTTTAACTCGATTAAGTTAAGTTTTATCAATATGACATATCTAGTCCCTCCTTTTGGGCTAATTAGATTTTCTCCTTTCCGGAGGTGAAATCAATTTCATAACATTATATAATTAATTTAACCCTTGAACTAATTGGTGGTACATAACTAATACACAACTGCTTTTCAAACAACTTTTTTTTAACACTTACTTGAATTTTACATCCTATGTAACCTCTATTTTATAGGTGTTATTTTACTCGGACGTTATTAGATATGTAACAGATCTAGAGTGCGAAAAATTGAAACCCAAAGGATTCAAAGTATAAATTTATATATACCACAGGGACCATTTATGTAATTGGCTCAAACAATTATTTGAGTTTGATTTAAAAAAAAAAAACAGTATTTTAAAAGAAATCCCTTTTAGTTTGAGGGCTCACATCCAAAGCACCACCGGTTAAGACGGACATTACAAATCTATAGTCCTCATAACGGGAGATATAATTTTGAAATTTGCATATTCTCACACTCCTTCACTAAGGGCAACTCCAACCACAAAACACCATAAAACGCTAAAATGATAACTTTTTAACACAAAATACAGTTTTCATTCCAACCACACACTAAAATTTTATACTAAAAACATATTTTAATGTCATTATATTAAAAAACCTATTTCATTATTATTATAATTAAATTTAAAGCCATTACATTGAATATTATATTAACATATAATAGAAAAGTAGTTTGGTGTTGAATGAGAAGCACCTCTATATTTGGCGGCCAGATTTTTTTTCACAAAAATAGAGGCCAATTTAACTGCCAATTGGAACAAAGTTTAACACCATTCCACTGTTTTAGTGACCGGTTGGACTTGGTCTAAGTCCCAAAATTCATACGCATTTGAATCGAATTTTCATAGTTCATCATCATCTTGGTGGCGATTCAGTTAAAATACAACTTTTCCGAATTTCCGCTACTCATCAATCTTAATCCTGTGAGTTTTTTCAGTATCTTCTAATTAAATTCTTTTATCTCTTTGAATTTCTTAGCATCTATTATGAATGCTTCATACCGTAATAAATTATTTTTATAAGTTGGTTCCCCTATAAAAAAAATCCTTATTTCACCGAATCATATCTAATAAATGAAAATAATTTTGCCACTTGTCAATTTCTCGTTAATTTTGACACTTGTCATTTTGTGAGATTTTTTAAACAAATAATATTCACATGTCAATTTATGAGTTTTTTCAATTTTTAAAATTAAAAAGTCACATAATAGTTTTTTACTTATACATGTAAAGTATTAAATGTAATAAATATAATAATAAATTATAGTTAATATGTTTCTTTATTCTTTATTTTAAAATTTTATTTTAAAAAATACTTATTATTTAAATTTTAATATTTAATATTTTTAATCAACCCGTATAATATACGATATACCTTTTTAGATAATAAAAACCTTATTCTAACAAATACGACGCGACTCAAACACACAGTCACCTCCATCTTCTCACGTCGTCGGCTCCTCAAGCTCTCCCCTGCTCGCCACCGTATGCCGTCGCCCCTGTGAAACCACCGACCGGAGACCTAGCACCCCACAGATATAGGTTCGTTCTTCAATTTCTGCTTTCGTTCGTCCTTTTTTTTCCCTGCTCTCTGTTGAAATCGAAATCATTGAGTTCAATGTTTACCAAATCGACAGTTGTGATATTGATTATCCTAGGTTTTCTCAACTGATGTGGTATATTAATGATTTGTTTGAAGTTGTCATTTGAAAACATTCTATATTTCCATGCGATAATCCCTTTTTTACACGATAAGATGTCCATTTTACTAAAAGCGATTTCTTTGTCCAATATCAGATTGTGTGAGATGAAACGGAATGAGTAGGCTAAGTTATTTATTAACATCATTGAACATTTTATGTTGTTATTTCTTTATTTCACTGGTGGACTAGATGAAACTCTAGGTCTTGATCCAGTACCCTCTGTATTCAATTCAGGATTAGAATGTAATAATTTTCGTATATCTTTTATTAAAATTGTTGTTCAGGATGCTGATTCTTCTCACTTTAAGCAGGTGGAGATGAAGAATTAAGTAGAGTAATTTGGTTTCTGCAAGTTTTATGTCTGCAGTCGTGGGTTGTACTTAATTCAGACATATCAACAGAATAGGACACTTTTAGTTCTCTTCAAGATCATCATCTGTTAACACTCCCGGCCAACATTTGAAATGTCTGCAAATCTCTTAAATGGGTCTCTTCATTTCCACTCGGGTACCACAACCCATATGAACTTTACTCACATTTCAGCCCTAAATTACAGATTCAGTCATCAATTTCCTCATAAGAAACTGAAACCTACCAATACCAGATACACTGTTATCTGCAGTTCAACAATTCGACCCAAGAGAAACTCCAAGTCTGTGGAAAACACAGAGGCTCATGATTTAGTACGAATGCTATTGAGAAATTCCAACAATGACAAGTCGTTGCTGTCGACACTTAACAAGTATGTCAAGTTAGTGAGGACTGAACACTGTTTCCTTCTGTTCGAGGAGCTTGGCAAATCTGAAAAATGGCTTCAATGCCTTGAGGTTAGTCCCTTCTTGAAATTTCCTTCATGTTCCAATTCATTCAAATTCCAATTTCTCTGACATTTCATCAGCTTAGGTGTTTAGATGGATGCAAAAGCAGCGTTGGTATGTAGCAGATAATGGAGTATATTCAAAACTAATATCAGTAATGGGGAAAAAGGGTCAAACCCGAATGGCAATGTGGCTCTTCTCAGAGATGCGAAACAGTGGGTGCAGACCCGATACATCTGTATACAATTCACTCATCACAGCCCATCTTCACTCCAAGGATAAACCCAAGGCTTTATCTAAAGCTCTTGGATACTTTGATAAAATGAAAGGTACAGAACGCTGCAAACCAAGTATTGTAACATACAACATTCTTCTCAGAGCATCAGCTCAAGCAAAAAACATTGTTCAAGTAGAAACTTTGTTTAAAGATCTTGAAGAAAGCATTTGCACTCCCGATATTTTCACATTCAATGGTGTGATGGATGCTTATGGGAAAAACGGGATGATAAACGAAATGGAAAGGGTACTTGCTCGTATGAAAAGTAATCAGATAAAACCCGACATCATTACTTATAATCTGTTGATTGATTCGTATGGAAGAAAACAAGAATTTGAAAAGATGGAACAGGTGTTTAAAAGCTTGTTGAGGTCAAAAGAGAGACCTACTGTTTCCACTTTCAATTCAATGATAACAAATTACGGGAAAGCACGGCTTCGTGATAAAGCAGAATTGGTTTTTGAGAAGATAACAGATATGGGATACGCCCCAAATTTCATTACCTATGAATGCATGATTATGATGTATGGATGTTGTGATTGTGTTTCAAAGGCAAGGGGAATATATGATAAGATGATAGAGTCTGAAAAGCAAGTGAAGGTTTCGAGTTTGAATGCAATGCTAAATGTTTACTGTGTGAATGGGTTACCTTTGGAAGCAGATAAGCTGTTTGAGAGTGCTTCTAATAGTGGGGTTATTCCTGTAGATTCTTCAACGTATAAACTTCTGTATAAATCCTACACGAAATCTAACATGAAGGAATTGTTACAAAAACTATTGAAGCATATGGATAGAGATGGGATTGTTCCAAATAAAAGATTCTTTCTAGATGCTTTAGGGGCGCTTGGGTCTTCAAGAGGTGAATCTAAACCTGAGTATATTGGTTCTAAAGTTAGATTTAATAGGTCAGCACCTGCAACAACGGGTCCCACATCCAACATGGGGAGTTAAATGAGTTTGTGTAGAGTGAGGAAGGTGATTCTGCTAAAAGTTTTCAAAGAAACTGCAGCATAGTCAAGTAAAGGTGATCAAGGTGTTTTAATCAAATTGCAGAAACCCTTGTAACAAGGGGAATGACCATGTTTGAATCTGTTTAGGAAATCATGAGGTCCTGATAATTGAAACAGAAACCCTTTATGAGGGCATGGTAGAGTATCATGTGTACTCATGCAATGTTGGCAATGTAGGGTGTTTAAGTGAGTCAAAGAAAGTCAATTGTGTTAAGTTGTTAGCGCGTAGTATAAGTAGTTCCTCTTTGTGTAATTCTTTAAAAGAATATGATGCATAAAAAGTTGTTTGCCTTGGTGAATGTATAAATGTAGAAAGAAACCATTGACCATCTTTTTTTAGAAAAAATATGCTCACAGCTGAAGAATCCATGTGAAATGGTCAAATGACATGTGATGGGATTTATGCATCTTGACAATATAGTTAATGTTTTATGGCATTTTTTGGTGTAGAACAAATTACCGACCGACCACAAAAACTACTTATACCTTCTGGTAACCAACTTTACTGCTTAAGACAGTAATAACTGACTTGACTGCTAAAAGACATAAATGCCCCTCGACAGAAATAACTGACTTGAAATATGGCAGCTGCAAGTCAAACTTTATGTATTGTCTTCCCTTGGCTTAGCAAGGATTTGATTTTGAAGTTTTTTGGTTTCAATGCTAAAGTTCTGGGGACTGTTATATATTTTGTATATTCAGCATGAAATCGATATATTTTGATTTATGAATTTTCTTTTTTAGGTATTTTTTGTTGGCTTCCATCTATCTGGTCTGACTAAGATCGATGAGGAAGAGGAGAACAGAATGTTGAAGCAGAAGAAGAGAACATTTACATATTTTAATCAAGTGTTATGGATTGAGAATTATTGTGGTCCGTTGACTTGACTTGTTAATCAAGTGTATTTTGTTGGTAAATTCTTGGTGGCATGATAGTGAGTGCATGGCACTGGCACAGATAGCCACTAATAAGAGTATGTGATAACTTTAGACTTTGGGTATCCATTCCATTCCAGTGCTGTGTTCATTTGAGGATTTGGTTTTATAATTACAGGTTATATTGTTTGTAAAGGCAGCTATTTTGTATTTAGTATTTATATTGCCGGCGATTATGGATAGAAATTTAGTAGTAAAAAAAAAAAAAAAAAAAAAAAAAACCCAACCCAAAGGATGAAGAGAATGGAATTTAGTTTAAAAAGGGTTGATGGTATAGTCACCGGTTCAGGATACCATAAAACTTTCTCTCGTGTTTGCCCGTAACGTGGATCGTGTGAACCATGTAAATATTGTGTTCTTGTTTTTCATATACATTATTAGTACTAGGTGTGAAACCCGTGTATTACACGGGTTGGTTTAAAAAAATTAAACATTAAGTAGTAAATAGAAAATATTTTTTAATATACAACTTTAAAATAAGGAACAAACATATTTATTGCAATTTAATATCATATATATATGATATTTAATATTTTACATAAATAAGTATATGACTTTAATTATAAAAATTGAAACAAACCAAAAATTGACAAATGAGATAATATTTATTTCAAAAATACCATAAAATGACAAGTGTCAAAACTCATGAGAGATTGACATGTGGCAAAAACCTTCATTTATTAAGGAAGATGTGTGTAAAATCATTTGAATTGTTTGTTGAAGTGCTTAAATAAACCCTAACACCGGTTAAACCATGTTGTTATTTTCTAAAGCCGAAGTGGAGTTGGAAAAAGTTATTGCATTTTGAATTGTAGAGTGAAATGAATGTGGAAAATATGCGTTTACTTGTCAACAGGCTTGCATTTTCCAACTCAAATAGTTGCAACATTTTCAAGAAGTGATGATGAGAGAGATATTTGGTGGAATGGGAGGACTTGACTTTGACTTTGTGGTGTGGTATCCCTTTTTCTTTATAAGGATTGAACATGAGAAATTAATATTTCATACCATACCATATACTACTTCATTCACACAAGTCAAGTTTAGTTCCAAAAATGAAGTTTTGCATTGCTTTCCTGTCTTCTAGTCTTGTAATGTTTCTGATTTCTGGTTGTAAAGGTGATAATGAAACCGATTTTGGGGCATTGTTGTCGTTCAAATCGATGATCACCAGTGATCCATATGGAGCTCTAAGCTCATGGGGCAACACGACTTCCTTTCATTTCTGTGATTGGAATGGTGTTTCATGTGGGAAAAGGCACAGAAGAGTCACTGCTCTAGTACTCCAGTCGCAAGGCCTAGAAGGCATGTTGTCTCCTCATGTAGGAAACCTGAGCTTCCTTGGTTTCTTTTCTCTCTTCAACAACAGCTTTCAAGGAAGCATCCCTCGTGAACTGGGTCGTCTATCCAGGATACGTGTTATCGTTCTTGGCCGTAACAAATTCAACGGACTCATTCCAACCAACTTGTCTCGTTGTTCTAACATTGAAAAGCTTGGACTCTATCATAACCAGCTAGTTGGAAGCATACCCAAGGAGATGAGTTTCCTCTCCAAGCTTAAACTTCTTGTAGTTGAGGATAATAAGTTAACAGGTGGAATCCCAGCTGTCTTGGGGAATTTAACATCCATGGAAATCTTCTCTGCAGCTAGAAATCCATTGGGTGGGAGCATTCCAGACACGTTAGGCCATTGGAAAAGCTTAACAACATTATACCTTGAAGGTTGTAGCTTATCCGGAACCATCCCTCATTCCCTTTACAACCTCTCACTCCTAACGAATGTTTCCTTGGCTGAGAATCAGCTTATTGGTGTTCTTCCCTCAGCTTTAGGTACAATGCTCCCTCATCTTGAGTCCCTTCAGTTACACCATAACCAACTCACCGGACCTCTTCCACCCTCCATATCTAACTGTTCCAAATTAAGAGTTATTGAAATGAGCGATAACAATTTTAGTGGCAAGTTGAAAATCGACTTTTCAAGACTAGAGAATCTCTATTCTGTGACCATAGGGAGTAACATGTATGGATTTGGAGAAGCTGATGATATGAAGTTCATCGATGCTTTGAAAAACTGCAGCAGATTAGTAATTTTGGATCTTTATAACTCCAGCTTTCAAGGAGTGCTGCCCACGTCAATTGGTAATCTGTCTCGTCAACTTAGTTTTTTGCAGTTAGGAGGAAATCAATTTTCGGGAAACCTTCCTTCAAGTATAGGTAATCTAGTCGGCTTGACCGTTTTAATTTTAGAAAACAACCAATTCACGGGAAAAATTCCCTCCGCCATTGGTAAGCTTCAAAACCTGCAAGTTGCTGCTCTCCTTGATAACCAATTTTCAGGGCCAATTCCAGATGCCATCGGGAACTTATCATTGTTGAATATACTCTTTTTAAGTTCTAACAGATTGGAGTCACATATCCCATCAAATCTTGGAAATTGTCGTCAGCTAACTCAGTTAAACCTTTATAACAATAAACTCAGCGGCAAAATACCTAAACAACTTCTTCAAATTCCATCTATAACCATTGAATTAGATCTGTCTCAAAACAACCTGTTTGGATCTGTTCCAACAGAGGTTGGTGACCTCAGGATGTTGACTTCTTTGGACTTATCTGATAACAACTTGTCAGGCCATATTCCTAGTAGCCTTGGTGGTTGCACTAGTCTTGTATTCCTGTCTCTCAAAGGAAATTCATTTCAAGGAACATTACCACCATCATTAAGTTCCATGAGAGGAGTTGAGACACTCGATCTTTCTCATAATAATTTATCAGGACAAATTCCTCGATTCTTGGAACGCTTCTCATTACAATATCTAAACCTATCCTTCAATGATTTCGAGGGTGAAGTACCTGTTCTAGGAGTGTTCGCCAATGCAACTGCATTCTCAGTTTTGGGGAATATCAGGCTTTGTGGTGGCTTGACTGAGCTTGGGTTACCCAAATGCAATGAGACGCATGATAAACATAAAAGGAGATTTCCTTTGTTCGTAATAATCATTCTCACAGCATCTGCACTTTTTGCCATATTATGTTTTGTGTACATATGGTTTAAAAAGATCAAGGGTCAACCATCTCAATCGTCCACAAATCAACGATTCATGAAAGTATCATACAATCAACTTCTCAAGGCTACAAATGGTTTCTCTGAAACCAACCTGATTGGAGAGGGTGGGGTCAGCTCTGTTTACAAAGGAATCCTTGATGATACATGTGTTGCAGTCAAAGTTGTGCATCTTCAAAATAAAGGTGCTCACACAAGCTTTCTAGCAGAATGTGAAGCATGGAAGAGTATCCGACACCGCAATCTGTTGAAGATAATAACGGCATGTTCGAGTATTGACTTTAAAGGAAATGACTTCAAAGCTTTGGTATATGAGTTCATGCCTAATGGGAGTTTACATGATTGGTTGCATTCAAATGTAACTACAACTAAACTGAACCTTCTTCAAAGAATAAATATTCTCATCGATGTCGCATCCGCACTTGATTATCTTCACAATCACTGCCTACCAACCATTGTTCATTGTGATTTGAAGCCTAGCAACATTCTACTTGATGATGATATGGTGGCCCATGTTGGAGACTTTGGTTTAGCTCGATTTCTTGGAACAAATTCAAACCACAACAGCACAAGTGGAATCAGAGGAACAATTGGGTATGCACCACCAGGTAAAAAAAGTCATGTATTCCAATATTGTAATACTTATTTATAGTATTATTAGTTACCTTTTTTTTTTCTTCCTAAAGTAACTGTTTATAAGTTGCAGAGTATGGTGTTGGGAGTGAGATGACAAGTAGTGGGGATGTCTACAGTTTTGGAATACTATTATTGGAGGTGATGACAGGGAAAAGGCCAACAGATGACATCTTTAATGAAGATCTCAACCTTCATAAGTTTGCTGACATGGCCTTGCCAGACCATGTAACTGATGTTATTGATGATGGCCTTTTAGATATTCTTCAAGAGGATGCTATTGCTACACAACATACTTTAGCATATGCAAACAAGATAGAGGATTGCTTGGCTTCAACCATCAAGATTGGGGTATCATGCTCTGTTGATTCTCCACCACGAAGGATGGATATCGAAAATGTTGTTCATGAGTTGCAGCGTATTCTGGAAAAACTTCAACATATTTGAGGTGGCATGTTAGTCCCTATTTGAAGTGTTGATTGGAAGATAGTAGTATTGTATTGAAGTGTTTGATAAATATTGTGTTTTTATGGATTAAAATGTGAAATATATGGAATTTTGAATAAAATGTCAAGTCAAAGCACAAATTGAGTAGATAAACAAGACATCTTGTAAAAAATTTAACATCGTACAACTTTTAAGAAGAGATGTTGAAGTTAAATTAAAGCTAAACAAGGCCAAGTATACAAAACTTGCTCACATCAGTTCTCATAGTGCAACAACTCAAATTTACAGTAAACAAGAACGTTTTTTTATATATATATATATATACAGGAATCAAACAGTGGCCAACAACCATAACACAACATATGAAGAAATGGCAAGAAGAAACCATGCAATGAAAGCCAAAGCTATGGAGATTTGGAACGTATAACATGAGAGTGAAGGCTGTAATCTGCAGATATCAGTGTCTTTCATGAACAGAATCATCACTCCAGCTGATGAGCTAGCAGCTGCAAGTGATAGAATCACTGTCACCTGTGTGAGTCATGTTTTGTTATTACAAAACTATATGTCATCCTATGAATTTTCAGTTGTGATCATACTAATTAATTATTATGATGGTGTTGGAAGGTTGAAAAATGGAATTAATTACTAACCCAGTCACCAACCAGAAGAAAGCTCAATAAGATATGATTGTGGAGATCTTTGTTTAATCTAAGAGCATGAATATCAAGACACGCAAGTCCAAAACTCCATGCCACTTGTAATCCCATTGCTGCAATTAGATAGCTGAAATTGATAAAGATGAACTAAAAAGTTAGAGCTTTTGCATTTTAGACAGATACATACATACAAGCAAACATTGCTATTAGGCATGCATGTTCATTTGACTTAAAAGGATCAATGTACACAAATCAAAGAACTCCAAAACTTCATGAAAAGGCTCCAAGATTGCAAAACAAGAAAGCTAATGTCAGTTATAGATGAAGACTGCGCACCTATTGTTCATTATTTCCTTCACATTGAGTCGATTTTTGCATGCTAAAATCGATTGTTGATGATTTATTTCCAGAGGTGAACAAGGTCCAATATGTCAAACCAACAATCCACCACACTTAAACTAATATAATCACTAACACTTAAATCCAATCATTACTGAACCCCACCATTTCTTGATGTTATCAGGAAACTTATCCAACTACATATCTTATCAGTTATCACAGCTACATACAAAGCAAGATTGAAATCCCAATTGAAACAGAAACAATAACCAAGATGAGAAGCCCAAATTTCGAACACAGTTATACTCCAATTAAGAACAGCATATCAATAAATTTGTGATGTGATGTGTGTGTGTGTGTGTGTCTGAGAGAGAGGGAGTGAGACCAGAAGGAAGTAGCGGTAGAGAAGCCAGAAGCAGACGACATGACAGCAAGAGAAGCAGCAGCAAATAAGCACTGGCACAGCCTCAACGCAAGCCCACTGGGTTTCCCTGGACTCCCAAACAACGATTTCATCTCTTTCACTCTGTGTTTTGATCGGCGAAAACGAAAACGAAAACTACAAATTGTATCTGGCTACATGGATGGATGATAGGTATTTTGGGGGTTTGTGGAAATTGTGGATTGTAAGAACATTCCCTAAATGTAAAGTCAGGTAGACCCACAATCTGTCGCCATCTTTACTAAGAATATGCGAAGCACTTGATGTTGCCTCCTCCTCCTTTTGGTTCTAATTAAAGTTGAAGATGAGGGAAACGATTATAATACACAAGCAGCTGCGTCAACAACGTTTATTAATTTCAATAGTGAAAACGGGTTTGGATGTCATTATAAATAAACTTTACGGAAAGTGTTACTTTTTTAATTTCAGAAAGATTTAATTAAATAATAAATTTCATGTGGGAAAGTTAAAGGAATCAGAAAATTGAATTGAAAAACTTAAAAAACATGTTGATTGTTAGGTAAATCCGAAAAGACCGGTTTTGTTAACTTAACCAATTTTTCTTTCAAATTTTAATTTCCGGATATGATTTAGTTTCATGGTTTTGAAAGTGAACTGCAAAATATTAAATCAAAAAAAATTAATTCAGTCTAGCTTAATATGTTTTAGGTATTTCATTAAATGTTTTAAAATTTGGTTCGAACCGAACGGTTCAACTAGTATCGGTTTTATGTTTATTTTTGAACATGAACAAACCGTTTTTTTTTTACAAAAACCTCTTTTAAACCAATCAAATTAAGCTGATTAAATTTAATAAAACACATAGACACCTATAAATGAAACATTTGCATAAAAAACTTTGGTGGGCGTTTTTATATCTATATAGATTTCTCTGAATAAAAACATATGATAAACGTTATGAAGTTTGTTGATAAATTTGTATTCATCAAAAATATTTTGTTTCGGTATTATACTTTATTTTATTTTTGATGTATTTGGATTGATGTAAAACTTATGGTTATGTGTTTTTTTAATGTATTTTAATTGATTTACAACTTGTTTTTTTTTTGTGAATTTTTAATGCTTTAACTTGTGGACGTCAAATACTTAATTTATGTATGTATGTATGTGTTTTTTTTCGAAGGACAACTTAATTCAAAACACTGGACTAGCAAAAAACTAGCCGGGAAAAAGAAGAAAATTACATAATAGCAAGATTCGGATTTTGCAACCGCCTTACCCAATTAATATCCTTCTTACACCTACCATTACACACAAAAAAAAAAAGATTTTGTAACTATATTATAAAAAATAAGGGAAGACTTGGGTTTTGTAGCTCCAAAAAGCATAGAATTCATGTACTCCCATATCATCCACCAAGACACATAAAAAACACCTTTCAAGATCCGTTTAGCGAAATCCGGGAAATGCAAAGCCTTGAACCAAACTAACCAATCTGCATAGGAAGACAAACTTGGAGCTGGAAAATCCCACGAACGATAGACTTGAAAAATAACGCTAGCCAAAAGAGAGCAATAAAAAAAGATGAGAGAAAGATTCCACAACGCCTTCACAAATCGGACATAATAAACTAGGCAAATCAATACCCCTCCTATATATGTGTGTAGGAAAATAGAAAAAAAAAACATAAAAATTCTAGAAACCGGGTTAACCCGACGGTCGCATCGGTTGAACCGGAAACCAATCACCATATCGGTTTAACTAAAAAATATGCTTTTAAAACATTGATTTTATGTATATATTTGTCTTGTATATAATATAGTAAATGCAAATTTATTCTTTTAAATGCATGTATAGAATATGCTAAGTTACATTATCTACCAAATGGTTCCTAGTCTAGCGATATCCGATGTTGTTGTCCCTTTTTGAGGTTGAGGGTTTAAGTCCTGCAGTAGACATAGATGGATTTTAAAAGTAGTTTAAGAGTAGAGTATATATTTACCTTTTCAAAAAAAAAAAAGGTACATTATCTCCATTTAAGAAGTTGTGGGCATTGTCCCTAAAAGAAACTCTCTCTATGGTTTTTGTTTTATTGGCATTTTTTGTATTTAGTGGATATAAAATGATCGTTTTATCCCTATTTGTTTTTGAAAAAAATTATTTATATTTTAATTAAGTAAATAAAATAGGTCTTGCACACCGGCCATCTACCCTTACTCCTTTCTTTTCCGGTAACACACACACCGACAACCTCGTTCTGATGAACAATGACAAACACCATATGCTTGCTAAAAATAGATAGGAATCGATGCAAACATGGAGGCCTTAATTAACAGCCATGGAGGGGAGGGGCAGGCAAAAGGACAATAGCCACCGAGGAGAAGGAAGGTGTATCTATTTTTCATAAGGTCATCCGTTATACCCAGTACTAACCACTATTAGTGGTGGGTGCCAACTCATCACCACATTCAACCACTAAAAGATTGGGATACCTACCACTATATCCCTCTTATTTTTTATTATTAAAATAAAAAAAATATTTTTTTAATTAATTAATATGTAGAGAGAGATAGAGGTAGATAGAGAGAGAAAAAAACTTATGGGATGTGGTGGTTCGTCCTCCCCACCACAATTTACCACGAATTCTTCCACCACTAAGCATATGAGGTGGCGTTCACATTGTGGTGCGTGGCCACATAGACCGCGAATATTTTCGTTATAAGTATACCTGATGGTGAAATGAGGGAAGGGCGTTGGGGTTGGAATGTTCACCTAGTCGATAACCTCTTTTTATTTATTTTTTTATAGGAATGTTCACCTAGTCGATAACCTCTTTTTATTTATTTTTTTACAAAACTAATGAAAATGAAAGGAAGAGAGAAAAAGTAGAAAGGAATTTAAAAAGAAATAATTAAATGTGTTTTCGTGTTGGAAGGAAAGAAAAAAATGGAAATAATAATAATAATAATAATAATAATAGTTGTAAGTAAAAAAAATTAATTGCATTTGTTCTCCAATGGTAGAAAGAAATGGGAACTTGAGAATATAGTATAAAATTTAATACAAAAGGCACTTTTGATGGTTAACATTTCAAAAACTTATTTACTAATCTATATTTCACAAAACCTATTGTCATAGACATTATTTAATAGTTAATATTTTTAAAAGTTTTTTTTTTATAGAATGTAACTAATTTATATATTTTTTTATATATTATATGGTTTTAAAAGGCGTATCATGATGCAAGACGTGGTGTAGCCGTTACGATAACATCCAATGCGAGTTTGTTAAGCATAGTGTCCAAATAATGTGTCAAGACGCGTCTTAGCGTTTTATGGTACGAGTTTTTTTAATGCACGGGGTTTTTTTCTCATCGAACCTAAAATAATTGAGTTTTTGTTAACTTTTTTCATATTAAGTGCTAATAGAACATTTCTAATAATTTGATATATTTAATATAATTTTATAATCATGTGATTTTTTTTTATATATTTGACATTGCCGCTAAGTCACACACCACGCAATTAAGGACCTTGGTATATTATATAAAAGTAATAAAACCTTCATATAATTTGTTACTTTAAACATATATTACCTTAATATTTTTTAATATTTGATATTTATATCGTTTTGAATGTTTTGACAATCACTTTTAATATAAATTTCTATAGTAGTATAGTTAATCTGATTTTGTATAATAAATCAAATAGATAAACTAATAAAAAAAATAATAAAAGTTTAATATGTAAATATAACTAGGAGGTAAAACAAAATGTTATTAAATCTGAAGCCAAGGGAATCTAACATTCTCATCGCTCACAAGCCATTTGTCATATAAACACTACATCAAATTTTTTCTCCTCTTATTTTCATCTCATTTCCAACTGTCCTAACCCGTAATTCATGAAAACACATTTCTCCCGACCCACATAATTTTCTTTAAAAAAACTTTTAGTAATTTAGAGTATATAAATTAGGTTGAACGTTGTGTATAGGTAAATAATATAAATTAAGAAAGGCATATATCAAATTGAAGGAAGAGACGAGAGAAGAGCATGGGATGAACAACTCCATTGACCCGAACAAACCTCTACTTTCGCAATAATTGGCCCAACACCGGCAGTACTATGAGCAAAATACAACCCACCATGCACGACACCGTGCACCTTAAGAGCCAAAATGGATAAAATATACAAAAGCAATAACTGGTTGTAGTTTACCAACTAATAAGTTGTTAGGAGTTAGGAGTGATTTCTTCAAATAACTCTAGCTGCATAAAAAACAGCATCGGAGGTGTTTTAATTGAATATAAATAAATGCTGATTAAAAAATATTAAAATAGTCGAGATTTGGGCCTCGCTCAGGCTTTTGATTTGGTCGCATCTAAAATAATAAAACATAGAAGAGAAGAGGGAGTGATACATTTTATTTAAAAAAAAACTGAAAACTAGTCATAAAAGGAGAAGAATGCTGCGAGTACGACACACACAAGAGTTCAGTGTATAACTACTTGACTTGACTTGACTTGTAATAAGATTATAAGAATTAAGAATTAAGAAGTAAGAAGAATAGGTGGGTGGCTATCAGTACCTAGAAAGCAACTAACACCAAACTTCCGTGCCTCTCACACAAACAATAACCAAAGAAAGTGGAACCAATTGGGTGGGTTTTGTAGTTGACACTTGACACTGACTGACAGCCTGGTCCGCTTAAGTCACGAACGCATTAAAAGCTGTTAATAAATATCAATGTATCATCTCATCCTGATCGTCATCGTACAACATCCAAATCTTTCCATTCTCTGCATGCATGCCTAGCCTACTACTACCACCTTAATTCCATTTATGATGCCATGCAGAGGCTCAAATCAACTCAACTCAACTCAACTCAACCAAACCACACAATCTAAGCTAACATAAGCTTAAGCTGCTGCTTTATGATTATTATTATTATTATTATGGGTGGTGGTGGTGGTGGTGGTGAGGTCTTTGTGAGTATACACAACCCCTTTATCATTATCCACCACTTGTCCGCTTCCTCGTGCAATCCTGAAAATCATCCCATCAACCAAATATCATATCATATAATATAATAACACATTTCTTTCTCCATCAATAATTAAATGGATTTTTTATAATAAACTCAACATACCACCGTGTTGTAAGCAATCCTTCAACGCCTACGGGCCCACGAGCATGGATCCTGCTCGTACTTATACCAACCTATTCATTCCATTCCAACAATTAATTACTAAACTACAAATATAATATTAATATTGAATACAGATACCTACCTCTGCACCAAGACCAAACCGAAATCCATCACTAAATCTTGTGCTTGCATTGTGAAATACAGCAGCACTG